GGGCTCATCTCTTCACCTACCTGTGCCTGCTCGTTCCCGAACAGACAGCTGCTGTAGCGTGTTTTCGGGGTGCAGGACACTGATAACACACAGCCTTGTGCTTTTAAGCCTCATAGAGTCAGCACTGGTTTTCTCTTGGGCTTGTGCTACTCATGCTCACAGTGCAGCACCCTCATGCAGCCCACAAAAAAACCTCAAACCCCACCACAATACAAGTGTGCTGTGAATGGTGGGATAGTGCATTACCAGGGTGATGGGATGTGTGTAACGCTTGAGCCAAATTTTCTACAGGGATGCTGTTGGTGTAGAGGTCTCATCCTTATGCTAAGATACTTAAAGCCAAGCCTGAGCAATTCAGTATAGAGGTGATCTGAAAAGTATTGACTTCAAGGGGTGTGGCCTCACAAAGGCCTTTAAAAGAAACAGTAAAAACGCATTGCTCTTAGAAGAAAGCATAAAGAACTAGAAAACGAAATACAGCATAGGGCTAGAGGGCAAAACTTTGGGATGGTGACAGAATGCTTGGCTAAGTCGTAATGACTTTACCAAGAAAAGTTCGACTAGCGATCAACCTGTGACACCAAAATCGAGTGAACAAAGCAGGGCATTTTGGAGCAGTCACTGAGGTTGCATGCAACACAATTGCAGAGAGCAAGAGTGAAACACCTAGCCACAGACATTCAAAGTAAAAAGAAAAAAAACCCACCCAAAAGGAGGAAAATGCTCAACTAAACTTGTTTTCTGTCACAGGCATTGAATGGAGCCAAGTTCCAGAGCAGCTCTGTCATATCTGTACAAACGCAACTACCACACAATAGTTAGTGACCAAGATAGTTTAACTAAATATGACATTTACATCCTTATTTAGATACATGGCTTTTATGTTATGGTCCTGGAGTCTTTCTGTGTCTTCCTTTCCTGGCCTCTGTAGTATGCAATGCAATACTTTGCTTTCCTCCAAGGCGATACTTTACTGCTTCTTCATTCCCCTCTGTTGCAGCAGTATCTCCCAATCTGCCATAAAGACACATCATTTGCTTGATGTGTTGTCCTAGTGGGTAGAAGTTGTGCTTATACCATTTGTATATGGATTGTACGTAGGTATATACATGTGAGTATGTAACTGTGGAGAAGAAGGGTTTGCCTTCCTTACCATGGGTCGCCTGAATGATGTTTGTAGAGAGGGATTCCTCTGGACTCCCTAAAGCCATTTGAAGGGTTATAGTTTCGGTGCTCTCTATGGCCAACACAAACTGATTGATGTGTCCA